ATGAAACCCAGTGACCTGAATTCCGCTTCTGCACCGATGGTTGCGATGGTCGTGAGCAGTCGCGCTGAATCGCAATTGCCAACGATAAGTCGTGTCGCCGCAAGATGCGCCTTGTCGGCTATGTCGTAGTCAAAGACGGAATTGACCTCGCCCTCCGCCGTATCGCCGATGAAGGTCTCCAGCAAATGCAGGCTTGCGCCGGTCCCCGCTCTCACCTTGATCCGGGTTGCCTGTGCGCCGGAAGACGCGGCGACCTGTACCAGTTCGACCGGCTTTGATACGGCTGCACCCTCGGCGACATCGACAATCACGCCACCTTGAACAAACGCGGTGTTGAGCGCAACGACGCCATCATTCTGTCCCGATTTGGGGGGCGCAAGCAGCTGTGCGCCGTGCTCACCTGAAAGAGCGTCGTTCAGATTTGTTACCGTTACTCCCTCAGTTGCCAATGCATCGACGTCAGACAACGTCGGCAGATATGAACCGTTGGCAATGACGATCCTGTACCGCTCCAGTCCACCGAAAAGGTCCTGATCTTCAAGAATGGCCTGAACACGGGAAAGATCTGCTGCAGTTGCGAGCGGCGCAGCGGCTTTCATGAAGGCGCGCAGATCGGAATACTTGTATTCTTCAACCCGGCGGTGCGGCAGTCCCCGATCGCGAAGCTGGTCGACGGCCGCCTCGCGAAGTGCGGAGACAGCAACCGACCCCGCCAAGGCCTCTCTGGCGCTCTCAAAGCGTTCAAAAAGATCGCTTTCAGCCTGAGTGTGTTTAATGGGCACGCTGGCATTCATGTCGCGTTACTCCCTCAGGCCGCCGCATCGACGTAATCTGCATAACCGTTCTTTTCCAGCTCCAGCGCCAGATCCTTGTCGCCTGTCTTGACGATGCGGCCCTTGGAAAGAACATGAACGACATCCGGAACGATATGGTCAAGCAGACGCTGGTAGTGCGTGATCACCACCATGGCGCGCTCCGGCGAACGCAGCGTGTTGACACCTTCCGACACGATACGCAGCGCATCGATGTCGAGACCTGAATCCGTTTCATCGAGGACGCAGAGCTTCGGCTCCAACAGCGACATCTGCAAAATTTCAGCCCGTTTTTTTTTCACCGCCCGAGAACCCGACATTGAGCGGACGCTTCAGCATGTCCATTGAAACGTTGAGATGGTTGGCTGCCGCCTTGACTCTTTTCATGAAATCCGGGATCGACAATGCATCCTCGCCCCGCGCCTTGCGCTGCGCATTCATCGCCGTCTTCAGGAACTCCATGGTCGCGACACCCGGGATCTCGATCGGGTACTGGAACGCCAGGAACATGCCGGCGGCCGCACGTTCGTCGGGGTCCATGTCCAGCATGTTTTCACCGTTGAACAGTACTTCGCCTTCGGTGATCTCATAGTCGTCCTTGCCTGCAAGAACATAGGACAACGTTGACTTTCCCGATCCGTTCGGCCCCATGATGGCGTGCACTTCGCCCGGATTGACAGTCAGGTTGACGCCGCGCAGGATTTCCGTTTCGTCTTCCGCAATGCGGGCGTGAAGGTTTTTGATCTCAAGCATTATTTGCTTCCGTCTCGTGTTCCGTTTTTTCTCTTTCAATCGCCAAATGACGAAGATCTTCAGCTCTTTTTTTGCGTACTGCGACGACATTCCAGATTTTGATGGCAACGTACCCGATGGTCACGACAATCAAGGGCCAAACTGCGTAGGCAACTAAACTCTGATCGGAAATCCAGAATATTGCTGACGCAAACAGCAACATTCCAAAAAGCACTCCGAACAAAAGTTCTACGAGATACAACCGCACATATCTGTGTTGCACTTTGAGGCCGTTTTTTCCTGACATCCGGGTCTTTGCTGCAGTAATCTGGGCTTGCGCAATGCCCAATTCCTCGTACTCCAATCCACGCCCCATTTCTCGTTCAGCCTCGCCACTAACGCTACTACTTAGCCAACAGATCCTTCCAGGCTGATCGAGATCAGCTTCTGCGCCTCGACAGCAAATTCCATCGGCAGTTGCTGGATGACGTCCTTGACGAAACCGTTGACAATCAGTGCAACCGCCTCTTCTTCTGACAATCCCCGCTGCAGGCAATAGAACATCTGGTCGTCCGAAATCTTGGAAGTCGTCGCCTCGTGCTCGAATTGCGCGGATGCATTCTTGCTTTCGATATAGGGCACGGTGTGAGCGCCGCAGTCCTGTCCGATCAGCAGCGAATCGCACTGGGTAAAGTTGCGCGCGTTCGACGCCTTCCGGTGCGCAGAGACCAGTCCGCGATAGGTGTTCTGTGATCGGCCTGCAGAGATCCCTTTGGAGATAATCCGGCTGGAGGAATTCTTTCCCAGATGGATCATCTTGGTACCGCTGTCGACCTGCTGATAGCCGTTGGAAACAGCGATGGAATAGAACTCGCCGCGCGAATTTTCGCCGCGAAGAATACAGGACGGGTACTTCCAGGTGATCGCGGAACCGGTCTCGACCTGTGTCCAGGAGATCTTCGAGTTCTTGCCGCGGCAATCACCACGCTTGGTGACGAAATTGTAGATACCGCCTTTGCCGTCCTTGTCACCAGGGAACCAGTTCTGCACCGTGGAATACTTGATTTCCGCATCATCGAGCGCAACAAGTTCGACAACAGCGGCATGCAGCTGGTTTTCGTCACGTTGCGGCGCCGTGCAGCCTTCCAGATAGGAAACGTAGGACCCTTTTTCGGCAATGATCAGCGTACGTTCGAACTGTCCGGTATTCTGTTCATTGATGCGGAAATAGGTCGACAGTTCCATCGGGCAGCGAACACCTTCCGGGATATAGACGAAGGATCCATCGGAAAGACGGCCGAATTCAGCGTCGCGTAGAAATTGTCGGTAACCGGAACCACGGAACCGAGATACTTCTTTACAAGGTCCGGATATTCCCGCAGTGCCTCAGAGATCGAGCAGAATATCACCCCGGCCTTCTTCAGCTCTTCCTTGAAGGTTGTGACGACGGAAACCGAATCGAAGACGGCGTCGACCGCGACGCGGTTTTTCGGCTCCACACCGGCCAGAATTTCCTGCTCTGCAAGCGGAATACCGAGCTTTGCATAAGTTTCCAGGAGCTCTGGGTCGACCTCATCAAGGCTCTTCGGACCCTCGACGGATTTCGGCGCCGCCCAGTAATAGAGATCGTCGAAATCGATCCTGGGATAGGAAACACGTGCCCAACTCGGCTCTTCGAGCTGCTTGAAACGGCGCAGCGCGTCGAGACGCCATTCTGTCATCCATTCCGGTTCGTTCTTCTTGGCAGACAGAAAACGGACGGTCTCTTCCGAAAGACCCTTTGCGCCTTTTTCCGACTCGATGTCGGTTACAAAGCCGTATTTATACTGGTCAACATCGATGGCTTTCACCTGATCGATGGTTTCCTGTACAGCTGGCATCCCTTGCCTCCATTTGACGGGCACCACGCCCGTTTCTTGATCATTCAGCGCGCAGGATCATTTTCTTCCTGCGCCATTACTCCGGCGGTTTCCCGCAGAACTATCCGGTCACGCCGCCTCGTGGCGCGCGTCGGGATTGAGCCTGTCGATTATCTTCGGCCAGACATCAAGAAAGCCTGCGATGTCTGCGCTGGAAGTGTTCCAGCCCAGACTGATCCGTAGAGCGCATCGCGCAAGGCTCTCTTCCACACCCATTGCGGTCAGCACATGCGATACCGAAACTTTCCCGGAAGAGCAGGCAGATCCGGACGAAACAGATACGCGCTCCAGATCAAAAGCGATCAATGCAGTTTCGGCGGGAATGCCAGGCACGGCAAAACAGCAGGTATTTGCGAGACGGTCGACATTTTCACCGAAAATCACCGTTGACGGACAAATACGTCGAAGCGCTGCTTCCAGCTGGGTCTTCAGATCAAGCACATGGCGCGTTTCGGATGTCTCTTCAAGTGCTTCAATTGCCGCAGCACCAAATCCCGTGATTGCGGCAACATTTTCCGTTCCACCCCTGCGCCAGTTCTCCTGACCGCCTCCAATCATCAACGGAGAAGGAGCCCGCGCAGTTGAACGAACGACAGTCGCACCAATTCCCTGGGGCCCGCCGATCTTGTGAGCGGACAGCGTCACAATATCGGACTGCCAGGCCTCCATATCTATCTTGATGCGTCCTGCCGCCTGCACAGCGTCCACATGGAAAAAATGGCCGCATTCACGCGCAGCCGCGCCGATTTCCGCGACCGGTTGAATGACACCGGTCTCGTTATTCGCAGCCATGACCGACACCAGTCCCGGCTCTGCATCTTTCAAGACTTTCTTCAGCTCCTGAAGCTGCAAGACGCCATCGCAATCCACTGGAATGACGACCTGGTCGGCGACAGCGAACCTTCCACCAGTCAAGACCGATGGATGTTCGACCGCGCTTCTGTAGAGCTTGTCGAGGTAGACTGGAGCGCCCTGGTCCTGCCAGACCGGCGAAAGCGCCGTCATGTTGGCTTCCGTGCCACCTGAAGCAAATGTGACAGCCCTGGTTTTTTCGCCGCAAAGCCGCGCAACGTGCTCTCTTGCTTCTTCTATCCGGCCGCGCGCCCGTCGCCCGTGTGCATGCACCGAAGACGCGTTTCCCGTGTCGTTCATCACCTCGATCATGGTCTCGCGCGCACCGGCACGCAAAGACGTACCGGCGTTGTGATCGAGATAAATCGGGTCTGATCGACGTGACATGAGCCCTCAAAAGTCAAGATCGACGGTTTCACGGCATCGAAAATTCACTGAAATGCCAAGCACATGTTCGAAAAACTTGATATTTTCCGCTGTGATGACGATAACACCTCCCAACCGGTCGAACCGAGCTCGCCTGCCTTTTGGGGGGTGGTGCAAACTTTCGAATAATTCTAAACAGGGTTCTAGAAACTTGGAGGCTAAGAGTCAAGTTTAGACTTACGGGAAACCACGTAGACAGAACTCCAATTCCCGCGCCCGCCCAACGTGGCGCGACAAAATGACAAGGACATAGCGCTTCATGCCTGAGGTGATCTTCAACGGTCCCGCCGGCCGGCTCGAGGGCCGGTTCCATCCCGCGAAAAAACGCAACGCACCAATTGCCCTGGTTCTGCATCTGCATCCGCAATTCGGCGGTACAATGAACAACCAAATTGTCTACCAAATGTATTACATGTTCGCGCGGCGAGGATTTGCTGTCCTTCGGTTCAATTTTCGCGGCGTGGGCCGGTCTCAGGGCACATTTGATCATGGACAGGGTGAATTGTCCGACGCGGCCGCGGCACTCGATTGGGTGCAGACTGTTCATCCAGATGCTCGTGCCTGCTGGATCGGCGGATTTTCTTTCGGCGCTTGGATCGGTATGCAGTTGCTTATGCGCCGCCCCGAAGTCGAGGGCTTCATTTCCGTCGCTCCACCGGCGAACCTGCATGATTTCTCGTTTCTTGCCCCTTGCCCTTCTTCAGGTCTGATCATTCATGGTGACAACGACAAGGTTGTCCCGCAAAAGGATGTCCAGACCCTGGTCGACAAGCTGAAAACCCAAAAAGGCATTGTGATCGATCACGAGACAATCCCCGGCGCCAATCATTTCTTTGAAAACGACATGGACGATTTGCTCCAGCGCTGCGGTACCTATGTCGATGGCCGCCTGGGTCTGACACCCGAAGATCACATCAACATAGACTGATTGTTCTTTTGGAGAGCCCGCCTGTCAGGCGGGCTTTTTTGTCTATGCAACGAGAAGCGAATTCGTCAGAAAATATTTTGTGATCCGGCCAGCCGGACGAGATGACCTTCCAGGCATTCTTTCGCTTTATCACGACCTCAACGCGGAAGACCTTGATGCGCCTCTATCTCTCAAGGAAAGAACATTCATTCAAATGCTGGCACAGCCAGGTCTGAGCATATTGCTGGCTCTGCTTGACGGTGAACCTGTTGCGACTATCACCGTGGTCGTCGTGCCGAACCTGACGTGAGGTTGCGCCTCTTACGCACTGCTGGAAAACGTTGCCAAGCTGTCTTCCTGTCGCGGCAAGGGTATCGGGGGTCGGTTGCTGCCGGAAGCGATTGACCTTTGCTGGAAGGCAGACTGCTACAAGATCATGCTGATGTCAGGGTCGCAAAATCTGCGCGCCCACCGGTTCTACCAAGACCGGGGTTTCAAAACGACCAAGACCGGCTTCGAACTAAGGAAACCTGGCTACCCGGTACGAAAAATTCGCTGACTACAACAATTTTCACGGTCAGTTTCGAATCCCCCTGACCGCCGTGAGAGATATTGGAGCCGACCAAAACGAAAAATATGCGCCGCGACCAGCCTATTGTACGCCATTCATCAAGAGAGGCCTCGCTGGAGCGATCCAGCGAACGAAACCACATTTCCAGGTTGAGCGCAGCCCAGGCAACCTCGCGTTCGCGCCTGCTCATACTTTCCGGTTTACGCGCCTTGTCGACAAAATCGCGTCGAACGATCTGATGGTTCTCGAGATGACCATTTTCGAAAATCTCACCGTGAGCGTTGAGCAACGCATTGTACCAAGCATGTACGGGCGGTTCGAAACCGCGCTTCGGCCTGTTCAAAATCTCGTCTCCCAAGAGATCTCGAACACTTTCCTTCAACAGGTGCTTGGGAGGCAATTGATCGTCACGAGCTTGTTTTCTGAGCCCGACAAATGTCTCGACCAGTTTGTAGTCGACAAATGGCAGTCGCATCTCGATCGAACTCGCCATCGAGATCCGATCACCCTGTGCAATTCCATTTTCTGCAAGATAGTAATCGACAATCAATCTGGTGACATCCAGATCAACGCGTTTGGAACGTTCTCCGTATTCTTCGATCGGGTCCATTCCCGGCCAACCCGACTTTTCGAGAAATTGCGTGCCAAAACATTTTGTGAAATTCTGATCGATAAACTCAACGGGCGCTTGAAGATCGAACATTTTCAAACGTTTGTCGTTGCTGAAAATACCAGCCAGAGCTCCCTTGAACTGTGCAGTCATGCGTTTTCTTGCACCGCGAAATCCACCAATTCGTCGGCCGTACCACTTCCCCTCATTGATCAGAACAGCATCTTGTATCCAGGGATAGCCCCAGCAAAGTTCATCAAGCCCGTGCCCTTGAAACATGACCTTGACGCCATGCTCATGTGCCTTGCGCATGATCACAAGGCAACTGAATCCGGAGATATCAGAAATCGGATCGTTGCGGCTGAACACAAGATCCTCGAATGCATCAACGACATAGTCGTCTGTAATTTCAATGTCGTGGAATGGTTGTGACAGGCGATCCGCGAGCTGCTTTGCTTGTGCGCGTTCGTCAACCTCGGGTGCATCGGGGTATCCGACAGAAAATATCTGAAGTGGTTTGGAACTGTATTCGGTCAACATGCAAGCGAGGATCGACGAGTCGATGCCTCCGCTTAAACTCAATCCCATGGGAACGTCCGAGACGATACACGTTTTGATGGCATCTTCGAGTGATTGCCTGCTTTCTTCAGTCGGGTTTCCGGTAACCGGTTTTGCGTCCCAGGGGCTCCAGTATTGTTTGATTTCGTAGCTCCAGGTCGCGATATCCAATTCAAGATATGAACCGGCAGGCAGTTTCTGGACATGTTCAAACGGCGTATGGGGTTCAGGAACGTATTTGTATCGGAAATACCTTGCGATCTGCCTGTGGCTGACTGAAGTGTCGACAAGACGCGACGATGCGATCGACCTGAGTTCGGATGAAAAAACGAAGTGGTCTTGTGAAACATGAAAATAGAGCGGTTTTTCACCCATTCTGTCGCGCGCCAAAATCAGTTTTTGACGTTCGGCATCCCATAGAGAAAAGGCGAACATGCCGCGCAGCTTTTCGAGGCAATCAATTCCATGCTCGATGTACAATGGAACGATCACCTCACAATCGGAGTTTTTCGACGTGAAACTGTAGCCGTGCTTTTGATAGTGCGCACGGATATCGCTGAAATTATATATCTCGCCATTGGCAATCAGACAGAGAGACTTGTCATTATCGAAAAACGGCTGGTTGGCCGTATCGATGTCGATAATGCTCAGGCGATTGTGAGAGAGTGCGACGGGACCTTTGCAGTAGTGCGAGCTTGCATCCGGTCCTCGATGAGCCAGGCTTCTTTGAAGTTCCAACAGATCTTCCAAGGCCGGTTGCGTGTGTCTGGAGACAATTCCGGAAATTCCGCACATCGTGCTTTCTCGCTACTCGTTTTCAGCGCCGTTAGACCACACATTCCGGCAATTTGGTAGACATGTGCAACCCGATGGTTGTGTGCCACAAGAGGTCTGAAAATTTTTGTCTGAAGCAAACAAACCAACCTTGCTCACAACACCTGGAGCAACCGGTGACAGACGTGATCGGAGAGAGTTTTTCTTTTCGACCAACAGTGTGGCATCGGTTAAATCAGCGATCGCATATTCCCGCACAGCGCTGATTGGCCTGTGCATCACCCCTGAAACGGCTTTTTCCTGGGGATGCCTGGCCCGGAATCGACACCATCGTCCGGCCCAGCAAGAGGATCTTCACCCTCTGCCACGACGCCCTTGATCGGCGGGCCATCATAATCTTCTGGAGGTGGCACGGTGGATGCCAGCTTACAGTTGGTCAGCCAGATATCGTAGACAGGATGTTCAACCGCATGCAGCCCCGGACTTGCTGCATACATCCAGCCGGAGAAAATTCGCCGGACCTCATTGTTCAGTGTAATTTCGTCGACCTGCACGAAGCCGGTAGTCAACGGAGATTCCGTTTGCGGCCGCGTGTGGCACACTCTCGGCGTTACCTGCAGCGCGCCGAACTGGACCGTTTCGCCAATATAGACATCGAAGGAAATAATCCTGCCCGTGATCTTGTCGAGGCCCGAGAAAACGGCAACCGGATTTTCAATCTTTTCAGCGCTTGCGGTATTGCTCACAGCAACAACGGAAAGCACTGATATTGCCAAACGCGCAATAAGCCGATTTGCTGATATTTTTGGTCTGAACACGTCTGCCATCAGTTTTTGAGTCGTTGATGCTAGATTACTTGCTTTCCATGCTTTGGCGCTAGCATCGAATTGCGGCCCGGACAAGACGGCGTCTTGCCCGGAACCCAGCCCACGACTTAGCCTATTTCCGCCAACCTGTTCAGCGCGACCTGCACTTTTGCGCGTTTTTCTCGAGAGTCGGCGATCTTTTCGCGTTCACCGTTGACAACCTCTTCAGGCGCTTTCTCGACGAATTTCGGATTGGAAAGCTTCTTCTCTATTTTTGAGATCTCGCCATCCAGCTTGCCGACTTCCTTTTCAAGCCGTGCTTTTTCCGCTCCCAGATCAATGACACCTGCCAGCGGAAGGCAGACAGTCGTCTCGCCAACGATGATCTGCGCAGACCCGGAAGGTGCTGCGTCGGCAAGCTGCACACTTTCCGCACGCGCCAAACGGAGGATGGCCGACTCGTGCGTTTTCAATCGGGATTTTGTCTTGTCGTTCGCTCCGTTGATAACAATCGCAACCTTAGCCCCTGCCGGGACATTCATCTCGGCCCGGACCGACCGGATTTCAGAAATCAGTTTTACCAGCCAGTTGATCTCGTCGGCTGCCGCCGCGTCTGAAACACGCTCTACCGGCCAGGCCGTCAGCATGATCAGACCGTCTGCGCTCGCCCCTTCATCGCCAAGACGTTCCCACAACTCTTCCGTCAGGAACGGCATGAAGGGATGCAGAACCTTCAAAATCTCATCAATAGCCCAGGCAGCAGTCGCCCTCGTTTCGGCTTTGGCTGCCTCGTCATCACCGTTGAAGACCGGCTTGGCGAGTTCGAGAAACCAGTCGCAAAACGTGTTCCAGGTGAACCGGTAGACGGCTCCGGCTGCGTCGTTGAAGCGATAATCTTCAAGCGCAGCGGTTACTTCAGCCGTACAACGCCCCATTTCTGTTGCGATCCAACGGTTCAACGTGTGTTTGGTCGCAGCCGGATCGAATCCCTCAACACGCGCGCACCCGTTCATCTCGGCAAAACGCGCCGCGTTCCACAATTTGGTGGCAAAGCGTTGCCCCCCTTCCGCCGCCTGATCGGACATCCGCAACATCCGGCGCGCCTGAACCTCCTGGCTGGCCAGCGCGAAGCGCGTGGCGTCTGCCCCGAAACGGTCTATCAGATCGAGCGGATCGATGACGTTGCCTGTGGATTTGGACATTTTCTTGCCCTTGCCATCAACAACGATCGAATTGAAATAGACCGTGTGGAACGGCACTTCCCCCATGAAGTGGATGCCCTGCATCATCATTCGCGCGACCCAGAAGAAGATGATGTCGAGGCCCGTGACCAGTACATCCGTCTTGTAGTAGCGTTCAAGTTCAGGAGTCTTGTGCGGCCAGCCCAGTGTGGAGAACGGCCAAAGCGCGGAGGAGAACCAGGTGTCCAGGACATCTTCATCTCGCGTCAATGCCTTCCCTCCGGAGAGAGCAACAGCCTGCTCTTCCGTCTGGGCGCAGTATTCGTTGCCGTCTTCATCGTACCAGACCGGAATCTGGTGTCCCCACCACAACTGGCGCGAAATGCACCAGGGTTGAATGTCTTCCAACCAGTTGTTGTAGATCTTGTCGGCGTTTCCAGGGATCAGTTTCGTCTCACCGTTTCTGACTGCCTCCAAGGCAGGCTCCGTCAGCTTCTTTGCATCGACAAACCACTGATCCG